GGAGTTGCTTGTATTTTTCAAGCCGTACCGCTCCATTGATCAAATCGGCCTTTTGAACCAGCATATCCACAAGACCCAAAACAAGTTGGTCGACGACGTGTTCATAGACTTTGAGGATTCATTCACAAACAACTTCTCGAACGACAATCTCATATACGGCTGCGAGATCTTGCAGTTGATCGACGAAAAGTACAAGGACAAGCTTCTTCAATGGTTCTACAATCTCCAGCTCAAAGAGATCCGCTCCATCTTCTCCTCCACTGAAGAAGCGGGTAACCTCGATAACCTCAACAGGAGGTACATTTTCTTCAAGAATGTGCTTTCCAACATCCAAACGAATTACCTTCTGGTGTTTCCCAAACTGTGGAACGTGGACTATGAGCTAGCCAAATTGTTCTGCGAAATGACCAGTTCCGATCTCAAGACACAACTTACGAGTGTTGCCTCCTCAGAAATATTGCTCGACTCCCTTACAAAGACGCTAGAATTGGAGAAGTTCCTCAACGAAACATTCAAGACCAACGATTTTGAAAAGGTTCTCCTGAATGTCTTCGAGCCATACCTCACCACCTGGGTCAATGAACAGGACGGAACTCTCAATGCTAAGTTTATGGAATTCTACTCGGCGCCCAAAATTCCCCAGGAGCTTATTGCTCCCCAGACAAAGGAGGATATTCTTACGGTCCTTCGTGTCAATAATGTGCCTAATTTCGCTAACTCGTCGTCTGAGCTCTTCAAGCTCTTCCAGAAACTTCTTGTTCAGATCATCAAGTTATCCAATGGTAAAATCTTGCTTGATCTTGCTCGCCTCGATCTCAAATACCTTCGAGAGTATAACTACAAGATGTTGGTTCCAATCTTACATCAATCCGAATCAAACCCTAAAGGTCTCGAGCCAATCAAGTATCTTACGATGATTCTCAACACTGCCGACTACGTTAACAACAACATCAACGATTTGCAAGACAAGTTTGTCAAACTTATAGATGAACAGTACAAAGAAAAAATTGATTTTGAGCCTGCCAAAAGTCTATTCTACGATGTGATTGGTAAGGCCATTCAAGGACTCGTGCTGAAAGTCTCCTACGATTTACAGTTTTCTTGGAGACAATTTGAAAATAACGGTTGGGAAGCCATGGAATCTGTCTCCGATACGTCTACATACATGGAAGACTTGATCAATGCCATGAAAGAGGACAATCAGGTCATCCTTACATTGATTATAAGAGACAGTTATGTTCGTTCCTACTGCGATAAGCTCATTGAGATGGTCGTTCACACATTTGTGAACAAGCTTAAACTTATCAAGCCTTTGAGCATTGTTAATGTGGAGCAGATCCTTGTCGATATCGCCGTTCTCAAGAAGTATATGGCGACCTTGCCGCTATATTCCGACCCCAACTTCGATGATAGTAAGCTCTCAGACGAATCCAAGACAGCGCCTAAAGCCTACATCCGTTTTCTCGACTCCCAGTTTGGCAAGCTCACCACCTTGCTCAAACTCCTACTCACCCCAGTCCTTCCTGTTGACAACATGGTCGAAAATTACTTCAACCTCATTGGTGACAAATCCTTGACTAATTTTACAAAATTCTTGAATCTCAAAAACATCGGGAGATCTGACCAACCAAAGTATATTGAGAATTTCAAGCTCCAGCTCACTATTCCCAACTCCTTGCAGGAAGATTCCCACATTTTCACAATGATCGAGGACGAGGTCGAGGAGGAACAGCAAGCGAAACACCCCGCGTCGCAAGGCAATCCACAACAGTTTGACATTAAGGAACTAATCTCGAGCAGGTCTCCAGAGCCTCACCTTCCTGACATCTTCAAGACCAACCCCACGAAGATCAAGATCAACAACCCATTGAAAGACTTCTCTATCAACGGCGAACAGCATGTCAGCAAAATCAACGAGAACTTCCGTAATATCGGAAAGTTCTTCAGAAAAGATAACATGAATAATAACTAAAGCCGATAACGTTGGAGTGCATGGATATATATGGGTGCGACGTACATAGTGAAATCAATTATCAACATAATATACATCTAATGACAGAAAAACTTGTCAAAATCTGTGGCATTCGAAAACTTGAAGATGCTGAAGCAGCCATCGATTCCGGTGCTGATCTTCTAGGTGTCATCATGGTCCCAAACAGGCAACGTTCCATAGATCATACAGATGCCTTGAAGATTTCCAAAGCTGTTCAGTCAGCCAGATCACAGAGAAATAGAGAATTTAAGACAGCTCAAGCGCTCAATAACTACCTTTCAAAGCAGTCGTTCAAAAGTCATAAAGACTATCTTCTAGCATACCGTGACCAAATCTTGAAAAACGGCCCCTTCTTGACTGGTGTTTTCAGAAACCAGGACCCAAAGACAGTCTTTGAACTTGCTGACCAACTTGAACTCGATTTTATTCAACTTCACGGCAGCGAGGACCCATCGGAATATTTGGCATTGAATACTGAGAGAAAATTCTGCATCATCAAGAGGTTTGTTGTACCTGATCAAGCAGACTACATGACTAATTTCTTGACTACCCTACACACCAACGAAAATAAGGGCTACGCTTTACCGCTTTTGGATTCAGAACTTGGAGGCGAGGGCAAAACCATCGATTGGTCCCTCATCAATGACCTAGATGGCTCATTTGTATTGGCTGGAGGATTAAAGCCAGATAATCTTCACACTACGAAAGCTTATCTAGAAAACGTCATTGGCTTCGATGTGAGCGGTGGCGTCGAAAACGAAAGCGGGTTCAAGGACCATGAAAAGATCAAGCAGTTCATTACGGAAGGAAAAAAACTTTAGAGCAAATAGGTGGTATTAAAGGTCTATACACATTAAACGTTACACGTAAGCACTAGTCATCCTGATCCCAGTTTCCAGGTCTGCGCTGCTGAGGCACCTGTGGTCCACCTGCTCTCTTAGCCATGATGATTTGGTCGATAGACAATATAGTGTTGGCAGCCTCAGTGGCGAATGTGATGGCCGATCTTTTCGTAGACAAGAGATCGTAGATGTTGTGCTCCTTGATGTCCAACAAGCCATCATCACTGTTGTTCTCGACATCAATACCCTTCGTCAAGTTACCCTCAGACGAGTGAGCGGCATGCAAAGCACTCAACACTTCGGTGGAGTCCAAACCAGAGGTTTCGGCCAACACTCTTGGGACGACCTCAAAAGCCTTGGCAAAGTTTTTGATAGCTAGCTGCATCAAGCCTGGAGTCTTTTCACCGTATTGTGTGATCAATTTAACGAGCTCAATTTCAACAGCACCGGCACCAGGCAAAAGAGCGTTGTCTTGAACCAAGCCCTTGATAGCGTTGACACCATCGTCGATAGCTCTCTCAATGTCATCCAAGTTATTCTGAGTAGCACCTCTGAGAATGATTGTGGAAGTTCTGGAAATAGTGTCGTCGTTTTGTCTGAAGATCGTGACTCTGTCACCACCAATCTCCTTGGTCTCAATGACATCAATGGTACCCATCTCCTCTGGCATAGGAGCACCAAGTCTAGGCAATGGGGTAGCACCGCAAACCTGACAAACACGACGGATGTCAAACTTGGATGGAACCTTCAAGACCAAGATCTCGTATTTGTTGAAGTAGTGGAGAGCCAACTCACCGATGGAGGAACCAGCGACAACAACACGGACACCGGAGTCGTGAATCTCCTTACACATCTGGTCCAATTGCTGTTCTTCGCCCTTGGAGAAGTCCAACATCTCCTGTGCATCGTGTAGCAACACGGTACCCTTGGTCTCGGTGGTAGAGATGTCGATTGGACAAGTGAAAACGACAACCTTAGATTTGCTCTTCACGTGCTCGACGTGTCCCTCTGGCTCTCTTGGGAAAACCATACCCTTAACGACCTCGGAGTTGGACAACGAGGAGCCCATGATCTTGACAACTCTGACATTGTCAATGTTGAAAGCCTGTGGCTTCTTTGGGTTGATGATCATTCTGACGGCTTCCACAACAAGCTGAGAAATGGTGTCCTCGAGGCCAAACTGCTTGGCAGAAATAACTGGCTGGATAACCTTTAAAAGCTCCTTTGGCTCTGTGATGTTCTCGACGTGGTCAACCACGAGTTTCTCCAACGTATCTTGCAAGAACTTGTTGGCCATATTGTAACCCTGAATAATTTCTGGAACACTGAGTCCAAGGCTGATCAACTTCTCGGCAATGTTAAGTAATTCGCCTCCCAACACGATCACCAAGTTGGTGTTGTCTCCCATTTCGAATTCCTGCTGCTTGGAAGCCTGAATCAAAAGCTTCACAGCTGGGTGCACAATCTCCAACTCATTGATAATAGTGGCGGCATCGTTGGTAATGAACGTTTTATCGTGTTTATTGACGAGAATCTTGTTTCTTCCAGATGGACCCATCGAGGTGAGCACGATGGAGCTGATCTCCCTCACGGCCTCGATGTTTCTGATAATGGCACCATCGGAGGCTGAATACAGCGAGTAGCCTTGTTTGAAAAGCCCTGCGTTTGGGGCAGAGGGCAATTTAAGGGACATTGGTGGATGCTTGGAAAGACTGATCTGAGGTCCAAGAATTCAAAAATTTGATGCTGGAGTCACGTGATCACGACACGAATCCTTAGCATGGAAGGGCTTGAATTTCGGTCAGTGAAAAAAAAATGCATCTTGATTTAAGATTTCTTCTTGTAATTCTTCTAAATCATAAGTTGTTTTTGACGGCTTGCTCGTGTTGTAAGGCAATGCATGTTGAACAAAATTCTATGGTCCGCGTTGAGATATACCTAGGCGACTACTATGAATAAAAAAATCTCTAAACTGGGAGCCACCTTGGCAACCCAACATACATTCACAAAATTTCTGATGACTGTCTCCTCTGTTTCGTATTTGTCTCTAAAAAAAAAGATGCAAGACTGTATCTGTGCGTTGCTTTAGCGAATGTGCTTCTGCAGCTCCAATTCTATTGCATCCTTCCAGAAACAAGCGTTGCCGGGCGGGGCGCTGCTCGTTTTTAGAGATCAATATCGTCGATAGGCTTCCCAACGAACCGGCGTAAGCTTTCTATCGAGTTGCCTCCCTTGCTGAAATATTCACTTAATGTCTTGTTATAAATGGCAAATAACTTTTCGTACTTCTTCAAACGTGCTTTCTGCTGCCTCAGCTCATTCTCATACTTTGAGATATTATTCTGAAGCTCTTGTTGGGCCTGTTTTTTGCGCTGGCGGCATTTGGATGCAGCAATCCTGTTTCTTTCCAACAACCGCTCCTTCTTCCACGCCGCAGTGCCCGGAATTGGGCCTCTGTCTGCCGAGTAAATTACTTCATTATTGTAAATAAGCTGGTGATTAGGGGGCGGGACGCCGGCCACGTCGTCGATTGCAGAATGCGGAGTGATTTCTCCCGGCAAAGATCCCTCGGGCGGAACTGAGCTATCTTGGCGTGGAGGAGGCGCAGGATGGGCCTGGTTAAACAGACCTGCTGGATCTTGCTGTGGAAGAGGTACTGGATGGCCTGGTAAGCTTCCTGGAGGTTGTGGAGGAGGCGGGATGTGATCTTTTTCCTCCAACTTCACTGGCTGTGGAGGTGGTCTGTGAACAAAATGAGGCTGCAGTAGCGGGTTCAGATCGTAGCCTGGCAAACGGTTGTCTGGAAAAACAGGGTTGGGGTTGCCCATATTTGGGGTTGCTTGAGCTCCATCGTGAGTCGATTGAGCATATCTGAAAGGTTCATCATTCATGTCATCGTAGGAGTCGTCGTCAGCGTAGAAGGCCTCGTGGTTGATAATCTGGCCAATCTGACCGTTAGAAATCGATATTCTCCTCCTTCTTTGGACACCGGCTTCGTTGGTGTACGGTAGAAAGAATGTCGAGTCAATGATGTGAGGGTTGGTGATGGGGTAGGAGTTCACGTCGAACGGATTGTGGTTACTCCAAGGGCCCAGGCTAGTGCCTTTTATATCTGCCAGCGTCTGCACGTGGCTAGCCAGCAGCTCACTGGCGTTCTGGGGATGGGCCACTGGTTGTTGCTGCTGACCATGGTCGTGTAAAGGTCCCTTGACCTGGGAAGAGTCGGACACCATCTTATGCTAACTGGTCCTCGGACGAATATAGATATTTCACCTCCTTACAGGCGTTATTAGGCAATAAGCTCCACTGGCTTCAGGTGTTGAAGATGCTTCGCAGAGTAGTTGGTGGGAGCTGCGTACAGGCGGGGCGATAAACGGAGGCTCACTGGGCGGGTAAAGGTGCGTACATCGCCTAGACACCAGTGGGCTGATGTGTAAATGTAGGCGAGGAGAATCGCCCAAAACAGGCACAGTGGAAAGTGGAGGATCGGTTTCGGCGGTAAAGTTGGGTTGTTTTTTCGACTTTCTGCCGTGGAACCGTTGTTTTAGTGGACCCTTGTTTTTTCGCTGCCGAGAAGTTCGAGGGTGCCCAGGCGGGCCAAGCGAAAGCGACCAATGATTTTCAGAACCTTTTTTTTCAGTCTCCCCCACACAATGAGGCACCCTACCACACACCTTGCACACATTGCTCCGCTTGTCTCCACCGTATTGCGTTCTTTCCTAAACACCGGTGCTTACTCATCAGCGCCGCCGTTAGGTTACTTCTGCAAGTTTACCGCTGTGTTTGCGTGGTGCCTTACGGAAACACTTTGCATCTCCGCGCAGAGACAGATCTTGCCTTAGGATGCATTGACGTTGACGTTATGCGTTCGTATCTGGGTGCTGCAGCGGGGACGAGGTATCATTTTTCGCAACCGAGCCCGAAATCTGATAAACCGTCGAGCACGCCTTGGAGGTGGTTTTTTCCGAACGGAGCCTGGCCTGACTGACTGCAGCTGGCTTCCATCGCCTAAGTGACATCACCTTAAACACATTTGCCCTACGCGCACCTCTTCACGGATGAATCTGTTCGAGAAGCTTGCGGAGCACCTCAAACTGCACGGCTTCGATCCGCTGGGGATCGAGTCTGCTTTAGGGGAACATGAGTTTGACGAAATGGGCGAGTATGCCTTCCAGTTCATCGTGGAAAACCAGCGTGGCATGAAGTTCTTTGGCATACCCTGCTTCAACAGAAAGTCCCTAATACCTGTGATAGACCCGCCCCAGTACACACGTGTGGACGGCTCCAGGGTGACGCTTTCCGACGACCGCATTGAGAACTACCCCTTGCCAGACTTGGGCTGGCGTTGGTGGTGGGACCTGTGGTATGTGTTGATGCTCAACGATGTGGACGAGCAGGGCTGGCTGTATCTGAGTGTGATTTTCAGAAAAGGGCTGCATTGGCACGGGAAGTACAATTTTGGCAATTTCGTCCGTCGTCGTTTGTGGGTTAGGCTTCGAGTCAGGAAGACCGAGAACGACCTTCCTCAAGAGCCTGTGGAGGAGACTAGCGATCTTGACGAGGAGCTTGACCAGCAAGCTGAGCTCTCGGAAGTTCCTGTTCCAAAGAAAAGGCTCCCCGTAGCGCTGGTTACGACGTGGGCATAGGCATTTATAGAAAAACGGCTGACCTGTTGGCAGGCTGACGGTCAGACGACGCATACTCTTTGGAGGTTCCGAGAGATTTTGGCTACTGTTGGAACGGTGATGATAGTAGGTTTTGTGTGGGGTCATTGGGTCCACATGGTGACGAAATATGTAGAAGGGATGGCCTCAGAGTGAGGTTGTCATATCCTGGGGTATTGGCGGATTGAATTAGATTATAGAAATGCATTTGTTTTGGAGAGAGTTGGAAAAGGTAGTCAGTAATACTCTTTTTGTGATGTCGTAGGAAACGACCTTTTCTAGTGAGTATCTGATGTAGACAAGGTATGCTGCTTGATCAACTCAAACTCGACTTCTCGTGAATCTATCCCTACCAGCGCCTTGATAAAACTATAAATATTCATACCAGATAAATCAAATCTTTTGTTTCTTCTTTCTTGAATTTCTGTTGAGTTTTTAAAATTCTCGTTTATCCAAGGTATCCACGTACTTCCTTACTTTTGACGCGCTGTGCCATAAAATTGATAATATCAACAACTCCCTCTTTATGTCAAATCTGGATATCACACTAGCTGCCTACGTAGTCAGACTTCACCATCTAGGCAATTCAACATCAATTGATTGTATGACCCACCTTCAATTAAATCTCTACAAAACTAACTTTAGCTTGCATTGCAAAACTTGGAAGAACTTTGATACCAGGTAAACGAGCCTCAAAAAAATACGGTTCAAAAACTGCCTCAAAGTTTGGAATAGAGATAATTCCAAACTTGAAAGTTCACAGAAAGCAGCAAGAGAAGGGTCTTTCGAAAGCTGACGGAAACGATGTAAGAGGAATTATTTGCGTGATTCGAAACCAATGCAAGAACGAAATCACAGAAGAGTCCATCGAAATAGCAAGTGAATGCCTGCTCGTGATCAGCAAAATAGAACTACATTGCCCATATCTGGTATACTCTGGATGGATTACGAGACTCGTCCAATGTGTCATTCTAGCTTTCGGTTCGGAGTTTGATGCTTCCGAGAATACGCTTCTGCTCGTAGATGTCGTTTTGGACACTTTACATGTCTTGCTTAAAAAAACAAAAGCCTTGTTCACAAGCCAATTGGTTTCCGTGTTCATAGAGTTGGCTGCTGTATGGACGCCGCATGAAAAGGCAACACTCGTTATGCTGCTTCTTCGAACAATGTCAAGTATAGACTTGGCCAAGACGTACCTCAGGAGCAACCTTCTACTCCAGTCCTCGTGCGTTTGTCTCGAAGAAATTTTGCATCGCCTCCTCGACTTCATCCACATCTACGTCTCAACTTACGATGCCGCAAACCTCAAATGTGTTCGCTCGACCTTACTAGCGGCAATTCTTTACTTCGGTCACCATGGTCTTCTTGATTATTTTAATTCACTTTGTTGGTGATTCTATATGCTAAGTGTCCGAAACCCGGCAGATGCTTTATGCATAGTCTAGTGATGTCATGTATGTTACTGACGGCGGGCCGCCTCGAGATATGCTGAACGGCTCAATTTTAAGACACGTCTAGCGGCCAAGAAGCTTAGCTCCGTTGCGCCCCACAAGATAGCTCGCCCCGCTGCAAAACGTGGTAGCTGTCACAAGATACCCGAAGTATTCAAACACAAGGGCCAGTGTCTCATGCATACCAGTCATGTCGTCAAACCACGGGAGAAGCACCAAGCCCCCAATATAGAACATCTGCAATGCCGTGTTGACTTTACCCAAAAGGTTTGGATGTACTGTGTGGGTTGGGATCGACAAGTCGAGAAACCTTTTAAGGTTTTTAGGTGGGGGGAGCGATCTCCAACGAATGTAGAAGGAAACGAAACTGAGCAAGACGTCTCTTCCGAGAATTAGGGTTGCTGCATACCATGGCATGATATGCTGTACGGAAAGTGCCACAGTGCAAACCGTCATGAGAAACTTGTCCGCAAGTGGATCTAGAATGGATCCTAAGACCGATTTGAGATTGTACTTGCGTGCAATGAAACCGTCCGCAAAATCTGTGATGCAAGAGTATACGAAAAGCCCGATGGCCGGCGTGGACTGGCCTGTTGCAAGGAAATAACCTATGAAAGGTGTTGTGGCTATCCTAGTCATTGTCAACATATTGGGAACAGTGTACACCTGAGAGGATATCTCTGAGGGCTTTGGAATAGAGAAATTCTCCGAGGCTGCAACTTTCTTAAATTCGGGCTTCGAGGTGACTGGGGGGAGTTTCTTGTCTTCAACCTTCTTCTGGAATTGAGTTGCAGATATGTTGAAAGATTGCCGGGGAACCCGGAGTTGGCTTGAGCCTAATCTCGAGGCCCAGAACCTCAGGGATGGCCCCACAGAAAGAGGTCTCAACGATCGGAGAGACCTCAAGGGGTAGAGGGAAAGCATGTTGTGGGGTGAAAATTGATAAGCGAAATTTTGATTTGCTACTACTCGCACGAGATTGTACAGTGTACATGAGATGCGTCTCGAGGTCAAGAAGACCCGCGTTATTAACTTCTATGTGATTTTCGACCTGATTATTTTGGTAAGCCCTGCTCGTTAACCAAGGCTTGGTTGGTGTCCTGTGGGCCAGGGCCGATCTTGGTCAAGATGATTCTGCTGACACCCTTGTAAGCCTCAGTGTCGAACTCAATGTCAGAGTCCTTGAAGTTGGCCTTCTTGTGAGCGACCTTGTCCCAGCCTGGAACTTGGTGGAAGTACTTGTGGATCAATCCAAGAACCTTGTTCTCATTGTGCTCCTCGTAGTAGATCACGGCGTTTGGACCGGCATCAAAGGTGTAGGCGGCGATGATCTTACCCTCCTGCTCGTTCAACTTGTGAATCAACTTGATGATCTTCTTTGAAGTATCGTTCAAGTAGAAAATAGGAGGAACAGAGTCCAAGCACACGGCATGGAAGGAGTTGGAGTCCTTCATGGTCAAGTCACCAAACACCTCAAAGTCACGTTCCTGGATAGCCTTCTTCATCTCCTCGAATCTCTTTGGCACAACCTCCTTGATACGGTATTGGAACAAGTCGGAAGTGGCCACAGTGCTCTGCATACCTGTCGTCAGGGGTGTGTCCTTCTTGTCGTCAGAAACCACCAAGATAGCGGCCTTCATCAGAGGCCAGTGGTCGACTGGAGCAACCTCCACGGCCTTGGAGTCCAGACCGTCCTGAGCCTCACCCATTTCCCATGCAACGTAGCCGCCAAACAAGGATCTACAAGCAGAACCAGAACCCTTTCTAGCGATCTTGGAAATTTCAGACATCAGCTGCGGGAGCTTGTACAACTTGGCAATGGCCAGGACCAATGCAGCAAAACCGGCAGCCGAAGAGGCCAAACCAGCAGCAGTTGGGAAGTTGTTCTCAGAAACAATGTGGACACCCCACTCAGAGAACTTGGGCAACGATGAGTCTGCATCTTCCAACTCTTTCCTCAATCTCTTCAAGTCTTTTATACAAGCGATGGTTCTCTCGCCCTTGATACCTTCTTCTTTACCATTCAACCATAAGTTGTCTTTTTGAAAGTCAGCTGATGTGGCAGCGGAGGTCAAGGTTCTCAAATCTTGTTGGTCCAAAGTGACTGAGATGGAAGAG